AGAGTGGGTGCTGTGCACCCCATCCCTCCTTTGTAATCAAGTTAACTTTGAGGAAACCTCACATCTGACCAAAGGTTGTAAGGAGACTGCGCTCCACCTGCTCTTCCTGGCCCCCTGCCTGGGACGTGCGCACGTCTGCGTGGGAGGAGCCGTTTGCTGCCTGGTCCCCTGCCCCTCGTATGTCGTCTTCTCTCCCCAGGAGTGCTAGCTTAGCCGCCTTCTGTGCTGGGCTGCACGGCCTCCTGCCCTCCTCGGGGGGCATGTGTGCCCAGCTCTGAGTGCACCCCACTGGCTGGCGTGGTGGTGTCCACGCAGGTGCTCTCCCCGCCCTGTCCTGCTTGTTACCTGCCGCCTTCGATGCTGCTGTGCTCCCCATCCCTGCCTAGTAGTGGTGGGGTCCTTCACCTTCAGCTCCACCTGTTAGGTCCTTTTCTGCGCAGTCCCTTCTACCACTGGCCTCCTCCCAGGGGCTGCCTCCCCTGCGCCATCGGGGGCTACTTCCTCTCTGTCAGAACACGACCTTGCAGGAACCTAGGACTTCTCAGCTGTGGCGTCAGGGTCCGGGTCCCTCTTGGGGAGCGGTGCATAGACACCAAGACATGGTGCAGGGGCATGTGGCTGCTGGGGTGCTGCGGTCCCAGGCCTGGGGGAATCCGGGGTAAGGATGTGCCATAGGTCTCTGTGGTACAGAGGTGGGCTCGGGCTGAGGGGGCATGCTGTATCCAGTGATGCCTGGAAGGGGCCGCAGCCTGGATCCCGCCTGCATCTAGCGCTTCCAAGTCAGCACCCCTGACTGAGTGCCCCCGCTCGGGAAGGGAGGTGCCTGCTTCTGGGCTGGGGCTGTATTGGTGATGTCAGCCAGGGACCGTGACATCACTGAGTGGGGCTTATGGGGCCTCCGCCAGGAGAGCCGGCCCTGACAAGATGAAGGATCCCTAGAAGAACCCGGCAGGTAGGCTCACCTGCGGGACACACAGCCCTGACCCATAGCAGCCTCTGTGTGACCCATGCGGTGTGGGGGCACCAGTGGGGGGCAGGGAGAGGCGGTGGAACGGGGCTGTGCTGCCTGGGTTGACACTGGGCTTATCTGGAGATGGGAGGCTCCTCCCCTGGGGTCATTGTTTTGAGCTCTGGTGCCTGAGCCAGGGCTGTCGCCACACACTGGGCTCCCCGGAGGACTCAGGTTACCCTGCTCCCACCAAGAGTGCCGGTGGGCACGCGGCTCTGGGCCTAGCCCTGGCTTGGCACATGTCCCCGCTCCCCACAGGCCAGCGTGTGACCTGATCTTACCATCCCGCGAGTCCCGCCCGGCCTGCAGAGCCAGGAGAGGACCCGAATGCCTGGGGCGGGGCCGCTCAGGCTGTGCTGTGTGGGCCACCTTCCAGAGCATCTGCCCGTCTGCACTGCCCACCAGGTCTGGGGACAGTGGCTCCTGTTGGCAGTGTGCGCAGGGGCTGTCCGAGAGGGCTGGGGGCTAGGCCCCTCACACACCTGCCTGGGGTACGGGCTCCTGGGGCCAGCCCCGGCCATCGTGTGCTCACGGTCACTGGTGTCTTGTGGGGTCATGCAGGCCGAGAGGCCCCAGGTGGGGCAGCGCATGTGTGCACGTCTGGTTTTGTGTTGGTTGTGTATCCGCACACCGAGACTTGATACTCCATGGTGCCGACCCCCTGGAGAGGCGTCCTGTGGTTCCACCCCGCCTGCTGCTTAAAGCAGGCTTACAAACAGTCATCCCCCTCTGGAATGAGACCCCAGGAACGGGGCCTGCTGGGGAGGCACACACCAGAGGAGACAGCGCAGAGGGGTGGGAATGCGGCCCGCTGCTGCTGGCTGCCCTGGGCCTCAGGTCCCCCCAGGACATGGGGACAGAGAGCTTAGGGGGATGAGGGGTGCATGGCAAGTGTTTGTCGACAAGCCCAACCGAGCACATGTGTCCTGTCAGCACGGTCACAGTCCAGGTTCCTGGAGGAGAGTGTTGCCAGTCCCCGGGCCTCCTGTCCTCACCAGCTACGGCTGGGGTTTCCAAGGGAGTGAGGCTGCCGTGCCAGGTGTGTTGTCCATGAACAGAGGTGCCCGGCTGTGCACCGTCTCTGCAGGATGGACAAGGGCTGGGGCTTCAGTTTTCTCTGCCCTTGGAGATTTCCAGAAACAGGCACTTTTTGTAAAAACTGTTGCTTACTGTCCGTGGAGTGTCAGCCTCCTGCCCCTTCCCACTCCTCCAGTCCCTGGGTGTTTCCAAGACCAGCCGTGCGCACAGCCACTGTGCCCACAGCCCCTGCAGGCCCCCTGCGGCCCGTAGGAAGTACAGACCCTACCGCCCCCAGTGGCCTTGCCTGGAGCCAGCGAATGGGAGCTGGGAAGGACGCGGCAGTGCAAGGCGGCCAGCCGCTCTGCAGGCGCTTCAGACAGTCTTGTCCGAGCCAGCAGTCACCCTCTGGATGGCCGCCCACAGGCGACCAAAGTCCATGTCCACAAGACCTGCACCGTGTCCACCATGTCACGACTCACGATGGCCAAAGGTGGAAACAGCCAGGTGTCCGTGGACAGACACACATGTCCACCCACACAGGGAGCATCACACAGCCACAAACAGGAGTGGGGCCCTGCCATGTGCTACACATGGACGGGCCCTGAACACATGGTGCTCAGTGAGACACCGGACACACAAGGACCCCATTTTTGTGACACGTCCACAGACAGAAGGTGGGCTCATGGGTGCTGGGGGCTGGGGAGGGGAGGGTTACTACTCATGGGGGTGGGGTGACCCCAACTGCACCCCTGCTACTTCATCTACCTATGAAAAAGATAGAATGTTCTGGAACTAGTCAGGATTGTTGGACAGCTTTGAATATATGAGAAACCACTAACTTATACACTTAAAGGGTGAAGTGTACGTGCTTTACGGCTGTATAGCTTAAGTAACAATAAACCAGGGCCTTAGAAACAAAGCATACTGTCCCCTCAAGTAGAAGAGGGGCTGACTTTGCTTGTAGGGTTTCTGCCGCCCCCAGGACGTGCCCCGGAGCAGGGCCGGGCTCCGAAGAGGACCCTCCACCGCAGTCTCCATGGCTCTGATTTTAATAACACCTGGTGTGTTTGTGTAGAGGCGACTTCAGGCACAACCCCGAGTGCACTTGAAGGGACTCCTGCAGGCTGCCAGGGGCATATGGGGGGCAGGCGCCACAGGCCCAAGAAGCATGAGCGCCCTCCTGGGAGGCCACTGGCCCCAGCCCACCCCACCCCCTCACGGGTTCCGGGCTGTACCAGCGTGGTGCGGTGCCTCTGGTGCTGGGACAGTGCAGGTCCCTGCAGCCCGGCTGTGCCCTCTCGTGTCCAGCCCTGCTCCTCATGGGTCTGCCCCCCACACCTCCTCACCCACGCTGGTCCCCAGGTCCCCCGCAGTATGATCCCTGAGGAGGCTGGTGGGGGGTGTGAGTCTGGACAGGGCCCTCTGAGCAGGCGGCTGTTGCATACCCGTGCCTCTCAGCCTTGCGCTGTGGGCTGGCTCTGCCCACTGTGGGCCCCTGCAGGCTCCTGAGGGCTCTGTGGCGTCTTGGCCCTGGTCCTGTGAGCAGCAGGACCTGGTTCCAGCCGTCCGTGGGTCCCTCTGCAGCTGGCCAGGCTCTCGATGGTGGGTGAGGGCACTAGCGGCCACACAGGTGATGCCACCCCTCCCTCTGCATGGCATTGGGCGGCAGACCCCTGTGCTGTCCTGGGCGATGTGGGAGCTGTGGCCAGGCACCTGTGGCCTCCTCTGCCCCAGCCTCAGCTTTAATTAGGGCTGGTGGGTGAGGTGAAGGATCTGTCCCCATGCCAATTTGGTGCCCACATTTCCAGTCACCCCATGTCGTTGTAGCCATTCACAAGCATTTGAGGGGGCACTGTGCCATCACAGATGTCAGAGGCCTTGACTGTGGGGATGGGGGATGGGCGTGAGCTGGGTGGTGGCTGCTCGGGGCTTGACAGGAGTGTGGGCAGGCAGGACCCCCTGTCCAGGCCTTCGGGCGGCCATGGTCCGAGTTGGTAGGGGGGTCATGTATTGGAGCAGATTCAGGTTCTTTTCAGGGAGCTTCCTTCGGCTTTGCTGCAAGAATTAGCCTGGGGGGCCTAGAGGCCAGGGCAGAGCCAGAGCCATAGGCAGGCGCCCCGTTGCTTCTCAGAGCACCCAGCCTTCTGCTGCCCAGTGCGGGGCTCTCCACCTCCCTGTATCCTGGGACTTCTCAGTCCCTGTTGAGCCACAGCCACAGCCTGGCACCCCAGGTCCAGTCTGGCCTCCCCGAGGTGGCAGGCACTGCCCAGGCCTGGCCAGCCCTGCCAAGCTCCGAGCGCACCTGCCTGCCTTGGCAAAGCCTGAGTGAGGGGCAGGGCCCTCCACAGCTCCCCGTTTCACTGCTCTTAGCCAGCCCGGCCCTCACCTAGTAGCTGGCCACACACCTGGCCACGGCCATAGGCCTCTGGAACTAGGCCTAGGGGCCTCAGTGTCACCAGGACCCTGCGGGGGCTGGGGGCTGGGGCGCAGGTGGCTCCAAGGCCTCGGGTTCCTTGTGGGGCCTGTCTTCTGACCTTGGGGGCCTTCTGCGGCGCTGTTTGTCATCTCCTTCCTTCTAAGGGGTATCTCTCCGCCTGGTGGGAGGTTTGGAGGAGGCTCCTGTCCCTCTCTGCACCCAGGCTTGGGCCTCCCCACCTGGCTTCAGTGCGCTAGGGCCTCTGTCACCACCGGCCACCAGCTGTCAGCACAGGGTCCTCAAGTCGGGGTGTGCAGGCATGTGACAGCGTATCTCACCTGGACACAGGCCATTAGCAGCGGCTGGAGTCACCCCAGCCCTCGCCCTCAGAAAGTCATGGTCACACTCGTGCCCTCAGAAATCCTCCCCGAATGCTGCCCCACTGCTCACGCCCTGCATGGTGTCCCCTCTTGGGTCCCTCTGCCAGGCTGTGCTCTGCAGCCCGGGCCACATGGCAGGCGGGCAGCCTTGTAACCAGTGCCTCTGTTTCTCCAGCAGCTGGGAACCGTGAGATTTGAGGCAGTGGGACCTGCCAGCAGGATGCGGCCTCCCCTTGCATGTGACACCGAGGGCACCGAGATGAGCACCTCAGCCGGGCCATCGGGAGCCCCCGCGTCCCGCTAGCAGGGAGCCTGCTGGGCCGCCATGGGGCACTAGCCCCGAAAAGCTGCCCGTGACCTCAGGTCTCCACAGACCCGGGATTCGCACGGCAGCAGAGTCACCGTGGAGAGGCCAGGGTACCACAAACTTATGGATTTTGACAAGAAAGGAGGGAAAGGGGAGTCAGAGGAGGGCCGGAGAATGTCCAAGACCGGCAGCCGGGCCAGCCACGGCGTCCGGAGCTCGGGGACCAGCTCAGGGGTCTTGATGGTGGGCCCCAACTTCCGGGTCGGGAAGAAGATCGGCTCTGGCAACTTCGGGGAGCTCCGGCTAGGTGAGCCACACCCCTTTGCATTCGTGGGGGGGGTGGTTGGAGGCCAACCAAATGGGGCTGTCCCCATGCCCAGACAACCCCCAGCCCTCGGGACTGGGCACACAGGTAAGTGTGAGCCTGCTCCCCGAGGGTGAAGTCAGATGCAGGGGATGGATGCCGGCTGCAGCCTGCATGTGGAAGGGCAGTCCTGTTGGTGTGTCCGGGCCCCAGGCAGGAGGGCTGGGCCAGAAGCTGGCAGTCTGTAGGCTGGTGGGTCCAGGCGTGTGTGCTCGCTCAACCCCTGCCCAGCACCAGACCTTGGGAGTGGTGGGGGCTCCTGGGCCCCATCCAGTGGCCAGTGCTGCTGCGGTCTGACGTGCTCAGGGGCCCCCGTCCTGAGCCAGAGCCACCGCTGGGCCATTCCAGAGGCTGCTGAGACTGGGCTTGGGCCACGGGACCTCAGGAAGCCCCAGGCTTAGGGTTTCTGAGCAAGAAGACCATCAAGGGCTAGGGGTACACAGTCTGCTGGTGGGAGGGGTGCCCAGGGTGGCATTGGGCCCTCTAGTGGACATGTGTCATTCAGTAGCTGACACTGCGTGAGGCACCAGGGAGGTGGATGCCCTCCTGCCCAGCCTGGGCTCCATGGCCCCAAGCAGCATGGTGGCCAGCTCGTCAGCTTACCCGGTGGAGCCCACCGGCCCAAACCGACCCTGCCGCCCCCTTAGAACATGTGCGTGCGTGCAGAGGCCCAGGCCTGACCTGGAGCCGGGGGTGGTGGTGTACCCGCTTTGGGGACTTGTCCTTGGGTGTCAGAATCAATAGCTCACACGGTACAGGTGTGTGCAGGCAGGTGAGGGTGTACAGGGGCCGTGGGGGAGCGTCAGGTTTCAGTTTAAAACACTTGAAGGCTTGAGGTGCGTCTCCTCTTCCATGGCTTCTGCCGTAAGCACGGCTTTGAGCGTATGTGTCGCTCGTGTCGGTGGCAGGCCCTGCCTTATGGCTCTGCGCGACTGGCCCCACCATCCGTGCTTCTGCGTAGGGACGTCTGAGCCCAGGCGTGGCTGCTGAGTGAAGCCGCCCCGAGCACCTGCCTCAGGTCCTGTGTACCTGTGCTTTCACAGAAGCGCTGGTCACAGGAGTCTGTGTTACATACGAGACCTGCCAGGCTGATTTCCAACCAACTGCCCCACACCAGTGCCTGTGGGAACTGTGGGAGCTCTGCGCACCCCTGCCCCACCTGGCCTGGGGTTTCAGGCTTTCCCGTGTGAAGTGTGTTTGTGGGTGTGAAGTGGTGTCTCCCTGTGGACTCTGCATTTCCCTGACTGTTGGCATTGCCGAGCATCGTTCCCCTGCATAGAATGTCTTCTGGAGCTGTTCGTAAAATTACCTTTTTATCTTTGGTTTTAGGTTTTAATTTTGCATTATTTGGGTGTGGTTTTCTTTGTGTTTATCATACTGGGGATTCATTGAGCTGCTTAGATCTGTATGTTGACACTTTTTCATTAAAATAGGAAAAATATCAGCCATAATTTCTTCAGATCTGTTTTTTGCATCAGTCTTACCCTCTTGACATTCTCAGACCCCAATTATACATGTTCACTTCCATTTGAATCCCCTAATCTCTCTCTTGAGATTTCCCATCTGCGCATTCATTTTGCCCATCTTTTTATTTAAATCCTTAAACACACTTACAACTCTTTTAAATGCCAGCAGCTTAGGTGCCTCTGACTTTGTTTCCCTTCTTACAGTCCGATGTTCCTCCTGGTTTCCCCTTGTCTAGTGATGTTTTGAATGTTGGACATGGTGGGCGCAACATGTTTAAAGTCTGATTATGCTTCATCCTGGAGACTCATCTTGACTCTGTCAGGGGCTGGTTTTTGGCTTCACTTGAGCAGGCTGAGAGCAGACATTACTCAGCCTGGAGTCGCCCTTCTGTCAAGGCGTGGGCTTTCTGGGTTTTCAGCTGTGAGTTCAGGGAGGCCTCCACACGCTCATGGCTGCAGCTCTGGCTCTCTGCAGCCCCCGGGACCTTCCTTCTGCTTTGCTGACAGCCCTGCAGGAGTCCTTCTGTCAGGCCTTGTGGGCGCTCCTGCCTCCTGCGCATGCAGTTCATACTGCTCACAGTGGCGAGGCTCTCAGAGCCCATGGCATCTCATGCCGGCTCCCCCAGAACCCAGAGCCGCAGTCAGAACAAAGGTTTCTTCTACAAGTCGGAGAATAAAACGGTCCGTTACCATTAAGGATCAGTAGACATCATCAGAATGTAAAATGTCTCCGTATCAGAAAGCATCGTCAAGACCACACATAGGCGAGTCACAGATCGGGAGGCAGTATTTACCGAGCACCGTTGAAAAAGCACCCGTTCCCACGATACAGGAAAGGACAGCTCAGTGACAAAGACACTCTGGTTAAAAATGAGCAAGAAACATGAACAGACCCTTCCCAAGAGCAGACCGTCAAATGGCCAGGGTCACTCCTGCCCCGTCACCTGTGGAGGTGTGCTGCACCCCTGCTGGCATGGGCCCGGGCCCACCCCCAGGAAGGCTGGTGTGACAACATGCACCACAGCTCTGCTTGCAGTGGACAGCCCGGGTGTCCCCGAGGTGACCGGGTGAGCCACCCAGGGTGCGTCCCTGCAGTGGCATACGTGCTACTCAATAGAAGACAGGAAGCCCACTTGCTGCTGCACAGAGGAACCTTAGGCGTCTTGCCACGTAAAGGAGCCCCCTCTCGGCAGGTGAAGGTGGAGACAGGCCGGGGCGGCACTGCCTTGTGGGGTTGGGACAGCACAGGACTCCCATCTGCCAAATCTCAAATGCTGCTCCTAAGCTGTGTGTGCATTTTACAGGTAAATGTCACCTCCCCAGGCAAAGACAAGCTGCAAGCAAACTGAGCTCCTCTGGGATGGTCCTGGGCAGGGCACTACCCTCTGCAGCTTTGAAATGCATCTGAAAATAGGAGGTGAATGGGACAGATGCCCCAGGGCAGACAGACTGTTCCCTGCACTATCCAGGCAGCGAGGGCGTGCATGTGCGCCGCACAGTGCTTCCCACTCTCTCATGTGTTTGGGGCTCCAGAATGTTGGGGCAAACATGGAGCAAACCTGTTCTTTATGAAAACTCAGGACAAAACCCAGGACCAGGGAGCCTCCCGTCCCTGCCAGCGTCTGTGAACAGCGTCTAGGTGTCAGGACTGAGCGCAGGGGACGGGCCCTCCGCTCACCCCTTCTGGCCAGTGTCAGTAAGTGGGAACAGAGGATGAAAAGATTGGGAAGAGGAAACGGCAGTGGCCCGAGCTGAGCAGCATGACGCGCGTGCAGAGCCGAGGGGCCCGCGGCAAGTAGTCAGAAACGGATTTCTCTATTGGAGCGCAAACAGCTGGAAGATGGGGAGGTCGAAACAGTCGCGGGAAGAGCGCCCAAACCCATGGAGTGCCGGCGGGATGGCGTGACAAAGGGTGTGCAGGCTCTGCAGCGAGGACCCGGGCGCGGCCAGAGGTAGATTTCCGAGTGGTCAGTGGGCAGTTGGAGTTGGCGTGTCCCTCTGCAGGTTCTTGTGTGGACTCGGTGGCATTCCTGCAGTGCCAGGGGAACCTTCAAGCTGCTCAGAGGCACCCTTGGAAACAAAGGCCCTCAAATGGCAAGACTCACGCCGGGCACACAGGATACAGACACCTTGGAGCACACCAGGCGGGGGCTGTGGCCATGGGGACCTTGCCTCCGCCTCTGAGGTCATTCACTGAGGTGTCCCCACCACCCCGTGGGTGGAGCAGGAATGGCCGAGGGCAGGCATCGCGTGGACTGTCCACTGCAGAGGGAGGAGGAGTGAGCCGAGGCCTCCCAGGCAGGGTCTCAGCTGGGGCCCGGGGGTCTGGCCTGGCCTGCTGCCCTGATGGCCAGTTGTGGGCGTGGAGCCCTGGAGAGTCCTCTGCCGGACAGGACTATGACCAGTCTTCCCAGGTGGCTTCTGGCCAGGGGCTTCTAACAGGGTGGGTGCCACAGGAGGGGGCGGGGTGGGGCAGGGGCAGGGTCTACGGGGGGAGAGGCCTGCAGGATGAGCCCCCTGGGAAGTGGGATGCCCTGGGGCTGCTTGCCAGCTGTCTGCACGTCCTGGCTGGGGACCCAGTGGGTGTCAAGGTGAAGGTCCCATCTGGAATTAGGGGCCGGCCCAGGGCTAGGGGCAGTGAGGAAGGGGTGGATGAGTGGGGGCACCTGTCAGGGGTGTGCGCATCTCTGGCTTGGCAGCACAGGTTGCTGAAGAAGAAGGAGGGGGTGTCTAGGGGTCTTTGTTGTGTTTTCGCTTTTTTGATGGGAGAAATTGGGGGAATAGGGCTGGGGGTGAGCTGGGGGCTGGTCCGGAGCCTGGGGAGGGCAGTGGGTGGGACCTTGTGGGCATGCACTTTGACCTGGGACTGGGCACAGCCCATGGTGGGCAGCACCCCTGAGAGGGTCGGGGGTCTGCCGCTTGCCTGTCCCCCCACTGCAGTGACTCGTCTTTTCTTCTGTAGGAAAGAATCTCTATACAAATGAATACGTAGCAATCAAATTGGTGAGTCCGCCACCCTCCCCCAAGCCAGGGCTCTTCTCTCGCCTACCCCGGGGGTCCCGAGCCCAGGCAGGGTCTGGGCGGGAAGAGGGAGCGCGAGGGCATGGTGACTGGTCCCGTGCCCCTGGTCCCACAGGAGCCCATCAAGTCCCGGGCGCCACAGCTGCACCTGGAATACCGTTTCTACAAGCAGCTCAGTGCCGCAGGTACAGGGCGGGCACGGGGGTGGCGGTGGCGGCGGCGGCAGCGGGCAGGGGTGAGCCTGCGTGTCCCCGCGTGTCCTTGCAGAGGGCGTCCCTCAGGTCTACTACTTCGGCCCGTGCGGGAAGTACAACGCCATGGTGCTGGAGCTGCTCGGGCCCAGCCTGGAGGACCTGTTCGACCTGTGCGGCCGCACGTTCTCGCTCAAGACTGTGCTCATGGTCGCCGTCCAGCTGGTGCGGGCGGGCGCGGAGCCTGGGGGCCCGGGAGAGCGTGGGGAGGTGGGGGGCGGGGCGCGGGGCGGGGCGGGGCGGGGCGCAGCGACGCCCGGGC